ACACACACACACACACACACACACACACACACACACACACACACACACACACACACACACACACAGACAACGACAACGGACCATCGAAGATTCGAGAACAATTCAATCACAGCGCTCCGACAAACATGTCACGCGCGACCACCAATCCCACGCGCGGATTTTCTGTCGCGCACGACTGTTACGTCAAAAGTCGAGAGAAAAGAATCCGCGGCACCAATCATTGTTATACAACGAATGCCACGTAAAAATTACAATTGTGGCAAATTTGTATTGGGCATCTTCAAGAAGAGATCCCGGACCACGAAGGCAATATATGCGCCGATCATCGCCGCTCTCTCTCTCTCTCTCTCTCTCTCTCTCTCTCTCTCTCTCTCTCTTAGTGTTCAGAGTCTCGCTACAATATCTTTGAGAAAACCGCCGTGAAAAACCGCCACGTAGAACCGCCGGAAGAAAAATCTCTTTCGAGAACCGCCGAGAAATCGCCGCGATTTTCTATCGCTATTAAGTAAGATAATTCGGAAAAGGGAATTATATGTAATACTTTGCAATAATTTTCTATAACTTTGCGTTAATTTGTGCTGATTTTATTGTTGTAAGAAATAAGTAAATCTTTCGTTAAACTACAAAGAACTGTAGTTTTTCTAACTTTTATTCGTTATACCAGCCGTGTGTCATCCTCTCGCTTCATTCTTTCGCGCGGTGCACTCGCGCACACACTTCATAAAATCACTCCAGCAATTCAGACCACATAATATAAGGTGTAGTAAAAAGAAATCTACTATTTTTGCATTAAATTGAAGGCTTTATTTAGCATAGTTAAAATGATCCGATTTAGGTCAAATATGCACCGTTTTGTTCGATAACTTGTTGCCATTTTGAAGGTAATTTCATTATGCCTCTCTCATAGAAATCCTCGTCCCTGTTGGCAAAAAACTGGGTCAGTCGATTTTCACAAGCTTCTCTTGAGGCGAATTTTTCACCAGCAAAATCATTCGTCATAGACAGGAACAGGTGGTAATCACTTGGTGCCAAGTCCGGATTATAAGGTGGATGCATAAGAACCTCCCAACCAAGCTCCCGGAGCTTCTGGCGAGTCACTATCGATGTGTGTGCCTGGCGTTGTCTTGATGGAACACAATTCCTCTCCTATTGGCCAAAGCTGGCCGCTTCTGGGCGATTGCTTCTTTCAGACGGTCCAATTGTTGACAGTACAGGTCCGAATTAAGAGTTTGGCCGTAGGGGAGCAGCTCATAGTAGATGATTCCCTGCCAATCCCACCAAACACACAGCAAAACCTTCCTGATCGTCAATCCTGGCTTGGCCACCGTTTGCGCCGGCTCATCGCGATTCGACCACGACCGTTTTCGCTTGACGTTGTCGTAAGTGACCCACTTTTCATCACCAGTAACCATTCGCTTCAGAAATGGGTCGATTTTGTTGCGATTCAGCAGCGATTCGCAGATGGAAATTCGGTCCATGAGGTTTTTTTGCGTTAACTCGTGTGGCACCCATACATCGAGCTTCTTTTTGTATCCAGCCTTATTTAAATGGTTCCAAATGGTTTTTTGTGCAATGTTTAGCTCCTCGCAATCGAAACAGTGCTTACATGACGGGTCGGACTCGACGATTTCCATTATTTTATCGACATTTTCGACAATTGGCCTTCCAAAGCGTGGTGCATCTTTGACATCAAAATTACCGGAACGGAATCGACGAAACCAAAATTGCGCGATATTGACTGTTACAGTATCAGGACTATAAACACTATTCACATTTTCAGCCCCCTGGCTTGCGTTTTCGCCTTTATCGAAGAAAAACTGTAAAATATGGCGTATTTTCTCTTTGTTGGTGTCCATCTTTGACACGCGCTCAAACAATACTGACTCAAGCAATCACAAAACTGTCTGAAAAGTTCTTTTAGTACGAAATCTTATCTTTCTAACGCCATTTGGCGTAACCCGATGGCACTTATACAACGCGAGATACAGATTACTAAAGCCATCTATTGGAAAAATAATAGATTTCTTTTTACGACACCTTATATTTATTTATATAGATCACCAAAATCAAGATATCGATCGAATTATTTCTTAATCTTCAGATAAATTGTAAGCATTCTATAATTGTTGGTGATTTCAATACAGACATGAGGCTCCTACAATAGCCCAAATTAATAATTTTATATTGTCTTCGAATCTCTACCTAGTACCATACCGAGAAACACATTTAAAGAATTCTAGCCCACTTGACCTTTGTATGATTGATGTCAAAGTAAAACTAACAGCCTTTGATCAATATAGCATAGCATTCCTTTCTGCACATGACTTAATTTACTTCAAGTACAATATAAAAATGCAGCGTCGAATGACGAGAATAATTATCTGTAGAAATTTCAGGAATTTTAATAAGGAAAATTTTTTACTACAGATTTGAGACATGAATTAGTCTAGAGTATGGAACACTAATAGCATTGATTATAAGGTAAATACACTAAACTAAGACTTATTATTACGATAGGCACGCATCGCTTCAGAAAATTTGTCATAGAAATCTACCTGCTCCATGGCTAACGAAGGAGATTAAGAAGGCTATGCGCGAGAGAGATAGGGCTAAGCGTATATGGCGCAAGAAACGAGATGATATAAGTTATTATCACTTTAAGAAATAGTAGCTTGCAAAATAGTGTGCAGAATGATGTTAGATCTGCGAACAAGCGATATTATGCGTCTGTTTTGAAGACAGATAATCCAAAAACGGTATGGAGTAAGTTGCGCCATCTGAGTCTGCTTCGCAAAAAGGATAGGGAAGGCTCTCTAAGACACTCAGTCAAGGAGCTAAACAACTAC